ACGATGATTGCATCTTGGCCAACCCTTATTCGCATGCTTCCATCTTTTCCAATTGGAGGGCTTGTGGTCTTCGCAGTCACATTATCACATATAAAGGATAAAACTTTATTGCCCATTTGATGTAATTTGAGTTGAGCTGTACTAAATGTTCTCATTAGATTCTCTAATTGACCATTAATTCATATTATATTAATGGACGAAGTGATTGTTGGGTTATATCCACGAGAAGTCTTGTCTAATTGGAAAAGTGAGGTATGGCTTTCACAACTTTATGTAAAGAAAAGAAGGGAAAGCTTCTTTAGAAGCAGAAATCACAGTTCTTGCTGCCCCTTGTCCTCCCATGAAAATACTAGGAAATTAATAAGGAGAAAATACCCATACGTTAATAAAATCTTAAGATTTAACCTTTATTTTTTTTTAAAAAATATCATTATATATATATATATATTTGATTTTATAAGGAAAACAATTTTTTCATAAAATTAAAAACTAAGTAATTTTTTAAAAATATAGCTAAAATTTATATATATTTAGCATTAAGCCACTTCCATGTCACACTTGATTTAGATGATTAAAAATAATAAACACCTAATACATAGCTTATATATGGGTCTTGTTTATTATTATAATAAAAAGGTTTAAATTTGATAACAAATTAAAAGATATATAAATAAAATATTTTAAATAAACAAATCACTCAAACTTGTCGTTAATTACTTCTACTTACTATTAAATATAATTTAAATTCAAAATTCTAATATGATAATAAAGTTCATCTATTTGGATAACTTCATGCATCAAATGTTTAATCCGGTGTGTTAAAATGTTTTATATCGATTAATAATAAAACACAAAATAATAAATTTTTATATATTTTTTGATAAAATATAATAAAAATAGCATGTAACTTTAAATCAAATGAGGAGTTGGTGTGGAGGGTTGAATTAAGTGATACGAATGGTTGAGTGATTAGAGTTAAAATGGTAAAGTAAAGAGGCTCCAAGAAAGTGATTTTATTATGTTGAGAGAATAGGGTGGGCGATAATTAATAATTAGGATTTAGGAAGTACAAGTAACAATAGCAAATCTTAAAATAGATTCTTCTCTTAGGCATAAACCCATCATTGCTAATTAGGCAGGACCACACTTTGTGGACCATAGACGATGAGTTCCACCCCAAGCCGAATGCCTACGCACGCGTGATCGCTCGTTTCTTTTATTGTTCTTTCCCCTATCCATTACTTCATTATAATACTACTCACATGCATTATTTTTTTAATTTTATCATTTCATTATACTTAATTATATTAAGGTTTTTGCACCCTTTTATTTGTATTCTTTCATCTTACATGTTAATGAGTGAGATCTAAGGGATTATGTGCAACACCCACCACGCGTTTTTGTTAACTTAATGCATACATAAACTACGTATACAACTTGCATTATATATGTCCACTTTCCTTCCTGAATAATGGCAATATGGCATCTTAATTAATATTTAATATGCGTTTGGATTAATTTACTTTAAATTATTTAATTCTTTAAAAGTTAAAAATAATTTAATGATAAAAGGTTAAAACAAACATACGATCAAATGAGGTTTTTTTTTAAACTGAAAAGAACGAGCTTGTTGTCATTAATGATTTGATGCCAGTTGATATCTCTTAGTACAATCCCAATTTAATATTAAGTTAATGCTAGTTGTAAACCTCTCTTTCCCTTCTGTGATTTGTTTATTTCGTCAACAGAACATGAATAAACAAATTATTAAATTGTTCATGAATTATTTAAATTTAGTTTTACAATTATTTTATTAAATCTGTTTATTTAATTAGGCAATGAGGCAAAAATTTAATTTTTGGTTAAGTTATTTAAATGGTCTGAGTAAAATTACTTCTGTTATAGAATAGTTATGGTTTAGACCCAAGAAAATATATTAATAACTTTAACCATATTTACTAAAAAAATTGACATATATTAACATTTCGACATTAGATTTGTCTTTATTGTTACAGTGTTTGTGTAGCAAAAGTTAAATTATTAATATAAATATTATAAATTTACAGTAACAGTATAATACATCATACTAATTAATAATTTGATTGATATTGAAAATTAATATATTATTAGTGCATTATTTATGAAAATAATGTATTGACAATTCTTATCATTGATACATGACATCGTTTTATTGTGAACCTTTCTAATAATTACACATATAAAATAATTCTTTTGTGATATTATCCAAATAACATTTATTATGTCAAAATTATTTTACAAATAAATAATTTGAACCATATATAATTTGCTGAAGTTTATTTTAAAGCAAAACAACATTCCAAATTAAGTAACCTAAATTTCAGCTTACAAGTACTAATACAAGCATAATTTTCCATTCACTTTTGAGACACTTTTGTTTGCAGCAACAAAATTTTCCCCTTATATACAAACATCAATTGTGGGGAAACGATGATGTTAAAATAAAAAACAAAAACAAAAACAAAATTTCCCCCTAATTAATTTATATAAATAAGTATTTCCATGCTATTGAACGAGTTTAAGTGAAGAAAAAAGGTATTTAAGGCACGAAATTGTAAGTTCTTTTATAATTTTTAGAGTTTGATTTAATATAACAGTATATAATTAAATAATAACATGTAAATATGATTAAAATTTTAGTGCATTATATAAAATATAATTAATTTACCAACTACATCACTCGATCGTATTTTTGTCTCCTTTCTCTATTTGAGTGTGTAATTTCCATTGCAGTCGTTTTCCACGTAACTACCTGTCTACTTCTGAAAAGGAGATTAGTAAATGAACGGTCGTAGAAAAATGGCCCCCACAATTAATTTTGCTAAAAATTGAACTAAAATCATAAATTTCGAGATTTGTACGTACTCCTGTTGGGTTAAGCGCCACCAAAAGCAGTTTTCTTTTCTGTCAAACAATTTAAATATACTAATACGTGATCAGTATCTAATTAGAAGAATTTACTTATAATTATAGTTAGCGTTTTATAGATGAAATGAAAAGATAACAATATTGCATAAAATAGTAGACCCCTAATGGTTTAGATGATTGAAGCAAAAAACCGAACGATCTTCTTTTGAGAACAAGTAAGATATTTTACAGATTAAAAGTGTAAAATTCATAATTACTTGATAAAAATATTAATAATTTAGAACATTACTTCTTTTTAAAATATATATAAAATACATCTTATATTTTAGGATTCTGATTGGCTTGCAATTACAGTGATAGGTTAAGAACTACTGGTACTGAGAAGTGTAAATATCATTGAATACTTAATGGCTTCAATTAAATGAAGGTACTTAGCATTTTAATATTCGTATAGTATAGTGACCGCATTTCATGTGGGTCCATGGATCAAACTTCTTAAATCGCAACCAGTTTCCTATGAATCGTATATTTCTATATACCCAAAAGAAATTATAAAGAGAAAAAGGAAAAAAAAAACGACACTCAGTCCGAGGAATTTTGTTCTATTTAATTGTTCAGGTTATAAGCAGTTTTATGATTTTATTTGACACTATGCGGTGTCTCATTCTTGATCTGATCATGACTGTCTAGAAAATAAGCCGTTAATTTCGGGAATTTATTTAATTTTTTGGAGTTAAATTTTTTCCAGCAAGATCACAAGGATGGCAATGGTTGACTAGATAATGTTGGTTTGACTGGATTGGTAGAAGGACAAGGCTTCGCAGGCTACAGCTGGAAAATGTAGGAGCAGGACAAGAAGGTAAAATTGATGATTAGATTCCATTATTCCTTATGTTCCTCACAAACTTAAAAATAGAAAAATGAAAAAGCTTGCTGCTTCAGGATTATTACATTATTACTTAAATAAATGGTCTTTGTTAAAGTAGAGACAGCAGATATGATAGCCTGCACTGCCACCACACCCTACTCTCATACCCTTTTCAATCAGAGCCTTACACGTGTCCCCCTGTGGTCCACCGACCTGACACAGCACCCAGGTTGAATGGTTTAGAAGGAAGATTTGGTGGGGTCCACTCCTTGCAACCATGATGAACAGTGGCTGAGGTCGATGAAGGATGATGGAGGTTAGGTGCATATAATTGAGGGTTCCAAAAAGAAATGAAAGAGGTTAGTTGGCACTGAGTAAAATGAGTGTGTAACAGCAAAGAGAGAGAAAGAGTAGGATATGATATACATGTATATATGATATGTTATGTTACTTAGAACAGTTGGCAAATGTGTCAGTTAATAAAAAAGAGAAATGAATAAAAATACTAAAGAAGTATGTTTGTTAATGAATACCCATAAGGAGCAAGCTTGGCCTTCAAGAGAAGAACCTCTCAAACTCAATCTTCACTTTTGAAAGCAAAAAAATACACACGCCCTGAAGAAAAGGTGAAGGGTACTTAAAATATTGATTAATGAAAATGATTAATTTAGTTTAAACTGAACATGAAAATTATTACAAGAGTAAAGTGTAGAAAAAAAGAGTGATTAGGTTGTTCTGCTTCAGCAATAATTTACCAACAGGAGCAGTTGGCAGTAGTTAGTGTGTCTTTTAAAATGATACATGTCACCTCATAGCTTGGGCAGGTAAGCAAAGCAAAGCAAAGCTAAAAGTCTCTCTCTCTCTCTCTTTATCTCCTTCTCTTTCTAGCTTAGTAATAGTAGTAGCTGCTGGTGTTGTTGTCTTGTGATCTATAAAAGTTGGATTTTTATGCTACATTTGATGTTTATGGTCAGTACCCAATTGGTGAAACTGGTTCTTGCTGTGGAATTTAATCTAGCATTTGATGCTCCAGTCAGACACACCCCAGTAAAGGGAACTCTGCTAAATCCTGTCCCTTTCAGTCATCACAGGATTTGAGTAGAATTTGATGCCTTTGGTCGTTCCTTGTTCTTGGATTCCCACCACAGAATTTAATAACAAGGGTTTCAACAACCCTTCCTTGTCCTCTCTTTTAAATCAAAAAATAAAAATACATAATGTTTGTTTGTTACTCATGTAGTGATACTACTTACTAATCTTGCTTAACATCATCAACCATGTTGGTGGTTTGATGGAATGAGGATTTAGTTGTTGTTGAGTGGACAAAGGAGAAAAGGGAATCTGCTTTACTTGTTGTTTGATGAGCTGTTAGCTAATCCCATTGTTTGTTGTCTATCTATGTCTACTTTATGCTCTCAAGACTGAAAGGTTCACTTTCTTGTCTGAAGGGAAGCGTTTTTTTACCCTTTTGCTGAGCATGGAAGTAGTAGACTTGATCTTAGGGTTTTTGAAGGAACAGGTAAAAAACTAGCTGGTTACTGACTAGTAGATTATATTCCATTTACTTTTTCTCCACCATTTATCTAAGCTACAATGAGGGTTTTCTTTAACTTTAACTTCCTCTCAGTCCTATAAAGCTGCCAAGCTATTTGTTCCTTGTTTAGTCCTGCAAGATATCTCTTCAGCCAACTTAGTCAAAATTCACTTTACCCTTTAATCATATGCAATTGTTTATTTCTAGATGCAGCAGCCCTGGTGTGATCAAACTGTTGTTGAGTCAGGATTGTGCTGATTGATTGGTGTATATGTATAAATAGGTTACTTTCTTAGTTGAAACTGTTTAGGAACTGTTTTAGTTCAAATGGGGGGTTCGGAAAATGCAATGGGGTTTCAACACGGAAATGAGAGCATTTTGACTTGTCCATCTTCAGGTCTAGGTGCAAATGTTTCAGAAATGGCTATTAGTTCTGTGTCTTTGGCTAAGCCTTCAGATGCAGCTAATCCTTTTCTTGCTGCTTCTGCTTGGGATCCACTTGTTTCCTTGACTCAGGCTCAAACTTTTGGAGGCTCTTCAATGGTTTCTCATAGTGAGTTTGCCAATGCCAATTCTTCATATCCTCCTCTTGTTTTGGAAAATCAGGGAATCAGCAACACTTCCCACCTTGTTCAATACATGTCTGACTCAAATCTTGGTGGCATGGTCCCCAAGGTTCACTCCTATGCAAGTGGTGGTTTCTCAGAAATGGTTGGTGGTGGCTCTTTTAGCCAACATGGGTCTGGTGACATAGCTAACACAGTGTACCCCCAACATTATAATCCCATTCAGGAGGCTCCAATTAATGATGAACAATCTCATGTTGAGGACTCAACTCCTGAAGAGGAAGCACCAGGATCTGCACCTAGTGGGAATAGAAGAAAGAGAGGGCTTGATCATAATTCTACTTTTGGAACAAATAAGGTTTGTTGAGTTGAAATGTAAAATATCAAATCTCATTTAGGACTAGGAATATTTCATTGGTCTTGTTGTGTGGTTTTGTGACTAATGAATGTAATGCTTTATGAGGTTGGATTTAGAATGCTGAGAGTGATGGGGTGAAAGATTCTCCTGGGAAGAGCTCTGATGGTCCAAAAGAACATGAAAAGAAACCAAAAGTTGAGCAGAATAGTAGTGCAGATTTGCGCGGTAAGCAATCAGTGAAGCAAACTAAAGACAACAATTCTCAGTGTGGAGAAGCTCCCAAAGATAATTTCATTCACGTGAGAGCGAGAAGAGGTCAAGCCACGAACAGCCACAGCCTTGCTGAAAGGGTACTTTTGCTATCTAACCACAATGTTTGTGATGAAAAAACAATGTTAAATTGTATGCCTAGTAATACAACTTTTTTTTGCTTGCAGGTGAGAAGAGAAAAGATTAGTGAGCGAATGAGGTTGCTTCAAGAACTTGTTCCAGGGTGCAACAAGGTGATGATCTGATTGAGATGATTGTGTTAAAATAATTTCTCATGAAACTATGATGATGTCTCAGCATACTAATTTTATCTTTGGTTAAACTATGATGATGTCTTTGGTTTCTCTTAGATAACTGGCAAAGCTGTAATGCTGGATGAGATAATCAACTACGTGCAATCACTCCAGCAACAGGTTGAGGTATGAAAGTAGGGAATCTTTTATTTTCTAAATTTATCATTTAAATTTGAATATGATCTGTTTTCCACTGTGAACATTTTGGAATAATGCATGTTAAGTCATGTTTTATGATAACTCAATCAGCCAATTCTATTATTATGGGATTGTGACTAGTCAACTTATCAAGGATACATTTTGCAGTTTTTGTCCATGAAACTTGCCACAGTGAACCCAGAACTGAACTTTGATGTAGAGCGGATCCTATCCAAGGATGTAAGTGAAGGTCTTATAGCATTTTGATTTGGATTAATTCTTAGAAAATAACCACTTATTTTCAAAAGCTGTTAGAATCAAGTGTGAATTGAGTCTCACGTAGAATGGGATATGTGCAAGTTAAGGGTTTATAAAGAGATGGACCCATATATTCATGGCTTTAAAGTTTTGGGGTTGCATAGTGGTGTCTTACTCATTGTAAGGCTCCCTACCTAAATCTCTTTAAACCCAACAAAAGCTCTATCAGGAAGCTGTAGGAAATAAGCGATTATTTGAAATAAAATGAGTTGAATCATTTACTTTTTTAGCGCATTAAATTAAGATGATAATTTCTCTTTCAATTAGATTCTCCAGTCGCGCATAGGACATGGAATTGGTGGATACGGTTCTGGAATCAGCTCCTCCCATCCATTCCCCAATGGAAGTTTCCAGGGAACACTAGCTGGCATGCCTAGTACATCAACACAATACCCTCCTTTGCCTCAGGTAAAAAGAGTAAATATCTATGAACATGGTACTCTCTTTAGTTCCCTTGTTTGTGGAAAATACTCATACATTTAAATGCAGACTGTTTTAGACCACGAGTTCCAAAGCTTCTTTGGAATGGGATTCGATTCTAGTACATCACTTGACAACTTGGGACCCAATGGTAAGAGACATAACATTTTTTCGGTTAAATATATTTAGTTCTTCAAAATACATTGTATTTTGATTTTAGTTCTATAATTTTTCTTCTTTAATTTTAGTCCTACACTTTTCAAAATTATTGGTTTTGATCCATAATTATTGTTAAATGATGATGTGACTAACTAAGATGTATCAATTTTTTGTCACGTAAATTTTTTTGTAAAGTTACATTAATAAGAGAACCCAAAACCAATGATTTTTTAAAATATGAGGACTAAAATAAAAACTGGCATATTTTGAGGGGCTGAAAACATAATTAATTGTCTTTAGTTTGGTTTGTTTGCACAACCAATTCAAGTGTCTGATTTTTTCTTATTTACTGTCACATTGAACAGGGAGGTTGAAAACGGAGTTATAGCGTGTGGAAAATATAGCCTTGTTACTACAACAAAGACTTTGGAATTTTTCTGTTGACTGCACAATTTAACCCAAGTTGGAAAGAGGGGAACATAGAGAAGGAAAGAAAAATAAAGTGTTTAGTTGTATAGGATCTAAATCTTAATACCTAACTATTGGCTCTTCGAATTTTTCGCAGAAGATGACTTGTTACATTTATCAATTGGAAAATGAGTTACACATATAATGCGAATGCGTGTGAAATCTAGATCATTCAGAACAAGTTGAAGTGGTCTTATTTAATGACATGGAGAGCAATATTTGAGGAGCATAAGAGTAAAAGTGTGTGCAACTACTATTACTTTTATGTATAGAGTTGCCGGGCTAGGTTTTTTGAAGCTCATTGTTTTAAACAGTGTTGCAGATTAGATAATGTGTGTATTTTTGCAAGGGTTAATGTTGTCCTTGTGTTGTTCTTTTGCAAAGGAAAAAATGTAACGAATGAGGATATAGAGATGAAAGTGTTGCAACCTGTACCATGGTGAGAGATTGTTTTTAGATCAGTGCTTCAAAGATTGGCCCTTATTTTTCTTCCTTTTTTCTTTTGGTTTTCGATATATAACATGTTAACAAGGAATTATTTGACCTCCCCCAAAAAAAGGGAATTGGAACCTGATACATAGCCACTAATCAAATTCTGGTTAAATTAAGTTAGATCAATCAAAGTTGACCAAAATCAATTAGAATCCATTTTGAATTGTTTAGTAAACATGGCTCTTTACCGACCCAGCAAATTTAAGAAAGTGCAATTTGCCCCCAATTGACACGAGGAATTCTCTCTAGTCTTTACTTATAAAACAAACATAGTAAATTTTTATTAAAAAATGATAGTATTTAATATTATCAATGAATAAAATTATAGTGATTCTTGTATTTTTTAATAAAAAATTATTATATACAAAATATAATCCTAATGTAATGTTGCTTAACACTTAGCACGTATGCTCAAATTTACATAGAATACAACTAAATTAAAATCGATAACAAGTATTAAGAAAACACTTTGCAGATAAACCTTGAGAGAGTCAGAAAAAGTATAAAAGTCGGTGTTTATTTTTTGGTAAAATTATTTTGTTTTGGGTCATAGTTTTTGGTAAACTACTTTTTTTTCGTCAACTTTTTTGATAAACTTATAATATTTCCCATTGTTAAGGATGAAAATAAGAACATGTGATTAGGTCCTGCAGACCTAAGTGGTCTGGCCTGTTAAATAAACAAGTCCAGTATAAACTTTTTCAAAAAGTCCATATCACTAAGTAACACATTCGATAATAAAAAAAAAATAGCACAAGTATCGTACTGTTAACATAGCCTTTCATGGTTCACTGTCTCAATACTTAGTGTATTATAATATTTCTACTCGCAACAATTTTATTAAAAGAATACATCTTTTTTAACAAAACATTTTGGTTAACTTATTATATATCTTGATACGTTCTTAATAGGCTTTTAGGATTAATTATTACGCTAATAATATGTTAAATTATTATGTGTGTTTGGTTTTATTTATTTGAAGTTATTATATATTTTTTCTAGTTTCGAAATAGATTTTTTAAAAAAAAATTTCTGGTTAAAAATTAAAATGAATGAATATAAAATTAAATCCATAAGCAAATATGTAGTGAAAGTGGAATTGTCAAAAAGCAAAGAGAAAGTTTAATATTGTATCATTAAAATAAATTTCATAACAAACTTTCCTAATGAGAAAATGTGATAAAAAAAATGCTAAAAGCATATTAATATCAGTGTTTTTAATGTATATCCAAGAATGTATGATAAATATCAATAAACCCACAAGTTTTTTTTTTAAATATAAAACTTAATATTATAAATACATTAAATCTTATAATTTTTATTATATATAAATTTTTATTGTGTGTTTTAAAGTACTTGTTAAAAAAATAATGTTAACATTTTTTTCTATTTCTTTATTCTAACAATCACGTTAGCAATGCTTAATTTTAGAGGAATAGCAAAAATGTAAGAAGGAAAAATTATTACCCACATTTTTCGCTATTTAAAATAAACATTTCAATTATGCCAATCAAACATAACTGTATGCAAACTACCGATCATACAGGTCAACCTACATTTTTTATTTTTTTATTATAGTTTAAAAAATGTCAAATTAAAATAAAAATAACTTGTATTTAAGGATTTTGAATTAATTGTTACTAAAATGGTTATACATTGTTTCAAACTGACATTTTGTAAACCTTAATATAAGAGAATTTTAATTATTTCTAAAATATATGGGGCTTCCTAATCCATCATAGGGATAGAGCCAGGTCAAGAAGATCTCACTTATAAAATTTCACCTAAATTTTGTCCTTAATTAAATACCAAGAAGATCTCCAAGCAACAAGTTAATTAAGAAACTTAAATAATAAATGCCACATTTTAACCTAAACCTTTAGGTATGTAGGGAGTTGAGTTTAAGCATAAAAAGAAATGAAAACAAATTTTTCATTTTTAATAAATATTTTTTAATTTAACATTTATTAAAATAAAATAACAAATTAATATAAATTTAATACATTATTTTTAATTTATTTTATAAAAATTATATAACATCTTAATTTAAATATAAACTATTTATCCCCTTCTCTAAAATTTTACTCTTAGACATACCCTTAAAATATGGAATTTTTAGTTCGAATCTATATAACCCTAACTCTGCATTCATCACCATTGTAAACCTCTATCATTCACTTGAATTTCTCTTCATGGATTCAGCTATCAGTTCAAAATTATTACAACATTGAAAAAAAACAGAGAATTTGTTCTTATTGTCTCAAATACACGGCTGCTGTCTCTGCTGGGTGTCCCCGTAGCTGGTTACAGTATTAACAAAGCCTTCATGTCACGTGACAGAGAATTGCTTGGTACAGAAATTTGGGACCTTTTCTTAAAGATGAACTTGAGACATGTAACAATATGAACCTCACGTAAACCAGAAATTTGATTGTGTTGTGCATCCTTCTCCTACGTTATGGTTTCAATACAAGTATTATACCACGGTACGATCCTCTGAAAATTTGATGTTTTGCAACTCAAAACAAGTGATGATCTAACGATAATTTTTCTAAAAGAATCGAAAGCATTTATTTCTTAACTTTTGATACCTCACGTCAAAAAATTTTAAGTTTTATTTGAAAGTTTTGAAAGAGAAAAAAGAAAGAATTTGAAGGGAGACTAAATCCTTTTTGTTTTATTTGAATGTTAATTTTTTTTTGTAAAAAATCTCTTATATTAGATAAATTTAAAAATTACATATCAGAGACGTTTGAAGGGTTTCTAAAATATTTTTACCCTTTCTTTTCCATTTTAATAACCTTCAGTTATATATATATATATATATATATATATATATATATATATATATATATATATAATTACAAAAATATGAAAATGTTTTAAAAATTGCTAGAAAAAATTGGACTTCAAAATTTTTTAATTATTTTTTCAAAAATCGCCACAGGTAATTTTTTATTAAATTTTTTTTTTTAAAAAAAAATTATATTGGTAAGTTTTATTTCTTATAATTTTTTAATATTTTAAAAATAATCATCTACCACTTTTTAAAATTTCTTTTCATTGTAACTGCACTAAAAATTATCATTAACGATTTTTAAATTTTAAATTTTATAATTTTTTAAAAAAAATTATATTTTAGAATATATAATTTTAAATTCTATGTATAAAAAAATATCCATCAGGTAAATATGATTTTTGAAAAAATTACAAATTAAAATTTTTTTTGAAGGGTTTATGTTAGCAAGGAAAAAGAAGCTCAAAACTTAAAAAAGAAAAAATCACCTGACAATGATTAGTGATTAGTACTGTCCGACAGTAAAGGACAAACTCCCAAGTCCAACATAGCAAGGGGATAAATAGCATAACATAAAAATAACAGAAATTACATGTGATTTCATTTGTTGTTATGTCAATTTTTTCTCTTTCTTTTAGAGCCCCTGCTTGGATTGGTCTTAGGGCCTTCATTCCTTTCAGGTGCTGATGACTTCCCTACAGCAAAACTCCACAAAGCCCTTTCTACATCAGATGCGGTATAGGAGACCCCTTCTGAACTTAGTTCCTGCAAATTATTTCTCCATCCGATATTCAATAATCTAACACAGCCAAATTCCAAACATGCAAGCTGTATAGTAACTTCATCATCTATAAGAGGTGTTGGGTGGGGTGATTTTATAGTTTATATAAATCTTAAGATAAAAATATTAAAGGTAAAATCTCTGTATCCTCCTTTATAGGGTTTAATATGAAATAATCGTCACTTTTAATTTTATGTTAATAAAAAACGGAATTAGTAGGTTAGTTAAAAAAATATATAATACTCTCACAAATTTACCAGTACTCAGGCAAATACTAATATTAAATTCTCGGATTACATATAAATATTTTAAAAAAACACTTTCAAGAGTCTTTTTCAACTATATTTTCTAACAAAATATTCTCATGATAATTATGGTAATGTAATATTTTCATGAAGGTAAAAAAGTTCTAGTAATACCCATGAAGATATTTTTAAAAATATTTTAAGCATATCAAACACATTTATAATGTGTCCAACTATATTTTCCAGAAAAGCACAATTCCTAAGATTGTAAAAAAATTCTAGACGCCACATTCATATTCGGTATGGAATGACAGAAGATGATCACACACTGAATAAAAACATGGTTGTTTTGATTTTATTCAAACGCAAAGCTCTCTAGTCACGTAATTAGTTATTTCCTTTACTCAATTTGTTTTATACACTTGTATATAAGACCATCAATTCATAACGTAAATCACATCTCCATTTGCTTAAATCATAGTAACATGGAGTTCGGAACAAAAAACACTTACTTTAATCGTGTCGGTAAAATTATTTTAATCACCAAAACAATTTCATACTTTAAAGCAATGAAACAATTAGAAATTACCTTTGCTTTCGATTGCAATTTATTGGCGAATATTAGATATTGCTTCAGCGAATAGTCTTTCGAGTTTCCAAGAGCTGCTTCCATAGCCTGCAGTGCAGCCAATAATCCCATAAATACAATGAAAGACCAACAACAACAATAAGTTAATAATAATAATAATAATAGAGTATCTCTATCAAAATTAAAATTTTATCATAATTTACGTCGTAACAATCGACATTAAAAATTACTACCCATTATTGAACTAAAACTCTAATATGATTATACGAATCGGAAAACAGCACCAAATTACTTACTTCACCTAAATTTTGTCTTAATAATAATAAAATTTAATTTTAATATTAAAATTTATAGTTTTAACAAATTAAAAATTACCGCAAATAAAAATTTTGAAGTGATTGTTACAATAGCTATTCATTCTCAACAATGTGATAATTTAGCATTGGATCACATCAACGTCAGTGTATTATAATAATAATAACAATAATATGTTGGTAGACCTGGTCAGACATGAAAGGGGTTAAGTGAGGGGCGAAAGCGGCCAAAACGGCGGAGGCAGTGGCGGGACCAACGCCTTTCAAGACAGTGAGTTCAGAAACGGCTTTGGATATATCGGGAAGACTCTGAAACGCTTTCTCAGAAGCCGATTTCACTACGACGTCGTCTAGGGACGAAACGAAGTCCAAGAGACGCGGCCTGAGATTCAATGCACCAAATAAACACCCACTCTACTTCTACTCAATCATTGAAAAAGAGAGAGGGGGAGTGGCAGTCACCTCCACTTGCCGCGCGTGAGCTTCCATTGCATGAGGTTGGAAAGTTCCTGAGAGGTGATGAAAGGGTTAGGGTTTCGTTCGTGAAGAAGTGAAGGAAGGTGGTTGCAGTAGAATTCGTCGAGAGAAACCAAATTGGGTTTGTTTTTGTTAAGAGAGAAAGTGTGAATCCGAGATGGGTAAGCAGATAGTGCTTCCTTCCAAACGCTCACTTCCGAACATCCAAAATCCATTCCTCGCCGCTACCAAACCCAATTTTCTATTCTTAACTAAGCCTATGCGCTATCGTTTATCTATTTCGAGTTCATTTCATCATTATTTTATACTAAACATCAATCATTTTATTCTTTAAAATCATATTGGATTTTTTAATTTTAAAATTAAAAAAAAATAACACGTATAATTAATTACATAACGATATCATATATCATATAATATATATATATATATATATATATATATTTTTTTTTTTTTTAATCTGTGACTATTGTTTGATAAATGTTTTAGTTTTGAAGTTCTTGTTCCCATAAATTTTAATTTTTAAAATATTTTATTTATTCATTATTTTTTATTTTTCGTTTTCCATGAACTTAAGTTTGAAATAGAAAGTTTTTCCTTGTTCATGTTGGACTTCTTTAGAAAAAAACTAAAAATAATTTTGGGCTTATAAAGAATGATGTAAGTGAATTGAAATGTATAATTTGAAGTCATCTTTTATTCAAGAAATTTAATTGATGTTTATTTTTAGTATTTAAAGATTTTAAACTATGCAAAGGTACTGTAACGTATGCATTTAAGAAAAATCACTCATGAGACTTAATCTTTCTAATTAAGGATGGTTAGCGGTCGATTTCAAGCCATTTTTCCTTTAATTTGATTAAATTTATACTTATTTTTATGTCATTCATTTTTATCCAACTAATATTTCGATAAAATATTTTTTGGGTTAATAGTTTATAAATATATAAATATGAGTATAAAGAGTAATAGGCTTTTTGAGTTAAGATCATTTTTTGGACCTAATGAAAAAAAGTGAATTTTTAAATTTTAGTTATTTTTATAAATTAAAATCTAAATAAGCATAAACAACACTTAAATGAGTCTTAATCCAATCCTGTTAAACTATTAATATATTACACATAATTCAATCCTATTAATACATGATCATATAATACATATACAAAAATTGACATGTATTAAAACTTAAACACAATGACATAATGGTCTTTTGAATGAATTGTGTTGAAACCAAAATTCATCATTTTAAGAACATTCATTCACATGATAAAATTTGCATAATAAAAATATAAGCTAATTGTTTAAACATTCAAATCTATGATAAATTTGAAGACAAAAATAATCAAATTAAGCTACTTTTAAAAAAAAGGCAATGCTTGCTAGACTACTTCATGCAGGGTAGGGAACACTCCTATTCGATAATCAAAATATGTTTCTAATAAGTAATAAGAGGCAATTAAATATAGTCATAAATCCACTGTCTAATAAGGCAATAAAAATACAAATTAGAGTTAGAATTTACCTTCAATCAATTAGGCAATTCTTTCTATACATGCAAATGTATTTAAAAATAACAAATCTCTTTTTTTAACATATACATAATTAGAATTGATCATATTATCCATTTAAAGTTTTAGTATCAAAGAAAAAATTTAAACTTATAACCAAGTAAAAATAACTTATAATAACGAAATTTGTTGATAGGCAGCTAGGTACCTACAAACTTGCAATTTGTAAATAAAATATAAAACAAATATTAGTGATTATATGAAACTTATTCAATAAAAAAATAGGTATTAAAAATTTGAAATAACTAATCACAAAAAAGTTATTTTAAGGCTATTGTTCAATTAAGTAAATTGTAAGTGATTGAGTTGATGATAAATCACTCCTAGAAAGCAAAAAGTAGAAATACTGTAACAAAGTTGAAAAATGAGTTAGTAGTTTAGTAAAACATAGTGAAAAATCAATGATTATAAATCTAAACTCAAACCAACTCTTAATGTTTTGATTGAGATGATGAACCAGTTGCAAGTAAAGATTCACCTCTAAGTCCTGTTGTTCCTAATATAGAATGTGTTGTTGACCCATTTCTAAATTCTAAACAAATAGAAAAATAAAATCAAAAGCTAAATTTTCATTTAGAGAAATTTAAAAATAATTATAGAAACATAACATATACCTGTTCCAATTCTTTTAGAAACCTCAAAATTCTCACTAAAGTTAACTTCATTTAATTGAGAGAGAGAATGTCTCAACTAATTCTAGATACATATCAATAACTTTGTCATTTGTGGGCTTAAGAAACTTTGAAATGTATTTAAAACTCTACCCCAGTTGAAAATGTACTTTCTGAAGTCACAGTTGAAACAGGAGTGACTAAAATATCCCTTACCATAGTTGAGAGTATAAGAAATCATGAGGAATTTTGTTTCCATCACACAAGTATTTGAAATTTATTACCCCCATCTACACATTCTTCAGCTAAGTACTTGTCTAACTTGTTTTTGTTATCAATGAAATTTTCCCCCTTAAATGTTGTTTAAAGACATCTCTCCTTACCAAATATGGTGCAAGTTCAATAGGACTATATTTTTGCACACAAAAAACCTCTTCCATTGGAGTGGGACCAGATTGCTTTTCATGGACAAAAGAATATCAATTATACATTCTAGATAAATTATTCTTTAAACTTGTGGACAACTCAATACAAAACATCAGATAATCTTTATACATATCTTTAAATGACCACTCAACATATCTTAATTTATATCGAGTATAAAAAATAACACCAACATCGACAAGTTCATTTATATTTAAAATGTTTTCCCAATTTTTGTCATATTTTTTCTTTATTTCCCATCCCATTGAGCTCAAAACAAAATTTAGGTTCATAGTAGACTGTATAAGTTCATAATAGACATAGACAAGTTGGTGAAATGTAGAATGTAATGTTACATGTGAAGATGATGAAAAGACTTGAGTACCTTTATAAAAAAATTTCAAAAAATTAACAAAAACTTTGACATTTTTCTAATCAACACTTGTATGTGCACTAATAACCCCAGAATAATCCAAATAGTTTGAATCCTCAAATTCAAGCTTCTTAAAAATAGCTTGAAATTTTCCAGTAGCATCAAACATCATATAGGTTAAGTTTCATCTTGTTGGAACATTAAGACAAATTGATTTTTAGCATCGAATCCTAGCAAACTTTATGCATTCCTTAAACTTAGTCTTTGAGGTAAAGACCTCACAAATCTAACAACATTGCGAATTCTTGAAATAGAAGAATGCATATTCTTTAACATGTCATTTACTACTAAATTTAAAATGTGTGTACAACACCTCATGTGAAATAATTCACCTTTTAACACCAAACCATTCATGTTCTTTATTCCTTTTTTAGGTAAGTGACAACCACATCATTATTGCTTGTATTATCAACAGTGATAGTTGACACATTCCTAAGTCCCCATTATCTTAAAATCTCCCCTACATATCTTCCTATGATTTTTTTATGATTAGGAACTATTGATAAATTAATGATTTTCTTATGATAATTATATTCTTTGTCTATAAAGTGTGCAATTAGGATCAAATAATTTAGATTTTGAATTAATGTCTAACAATAAGTGGTTAATGCAACCCTATAACAATCTGATTTAAAAAAATCTATCAGCCTCATTTTTCTTTTATGCATATAATTGAAAGCAGTCATTAGCTATAGTATGCCTTGAGGCACTGTAAATTGTGGTTGTAACTGTCTACATAAAAACTTGAATCCCTCACATTCAACTACCCTAAAGAGTTGTTCATCTATGGTCATTAACATTGCTATCGCCTTCCTACAAGCTTCAACATCAAACCTTTGACTAACAACTACATTGATCTCTCCACTTCTAAAAGTAAAGATTGTTTGGGTAGGGTCACTAGTTAAAGCATATGTATATTTGGAGCAAGTTTTAAGGTGAGTAAGTAAATTAGATGTGCCATGTGCCTTAGTATCATAGTAATACACTTTTTTTTACAATATTTACAAGCAGTCATAAGTTCTTTTGATTCATTTTCAAATAATTTAGTAAAATGGTTCCCTGCCATTGATGTTTTCTAACAAATACTAGCATTGAGTTTTTTCTTTTTCGAATTCTGTAAAGAGTTACCCTCTATAACTTCATTTATAGCTCCAAGTACCACACAAGTATTTGTTTTCTTACTACTTGCTTCTACTGGAGCAAAATTTGTAGGATTGGAGAGCCCTTTCATTTTCATTTAAGGTGGCAAATTGAGGCTAGATTGCTCCATTATTGCTTCAATACTACCTACCATACAATGTTATCAATGGTAGATGGTAGGTCATAGCAGAAACCTAAAAAAATGCCATAAAGTTATGACAGCCGCCATGACGGGTTATGGAAGATATAATAAAATTTATAAAAATATTATATGCCACAGAAAATGATGAATATAATTAACTCAAAATATATGTAGCAAAAACTATAATCTAAAATAATCAAATGTCAAGTTAATAATAAAAACAAAGATTATCAATCTAGTCATTTTTTTCAACTCCAATGTAATCATCTTCATTTTCATCCACCAAGGTATATCCCTCCTCCTCTTCTCCCTCAGATTTTGGAATATTAATTTGTTATTCATCTTCTATTTCTTCCAACATCTCTTCATCTTCTAATTCTTCAGCATCATTATCAACTTCAATTGCCAGTTTCTCTTTTCCTTTTGCTGTTCAACATGCCTTGATCTTGAAAACTTTTGTAGCTTGGATAGTAATACAACTTGATAGACTTTTTTTTTTCTTAGAATGACGCTTAGTATATGTGCTAGGCTCTCCTTATCCAGAAGTTTCATAAACATTTGACCAATTTAAAGTGTCATCACCATAAAGAAACTAAATCATGTCCAGCATCCTCATCATGAGCATCATCATCCATCTCTCCAACCAACCACTCATTACACTCATCAATGTTATTGAGTGTAATTGGATGAATTACATCTTTAATATTGTAATGTTCTTTTAGTTGTTGGTTATATTTCACATAAACTAAGCCATGTAATTTTTTTATAATCAATCTTATTCCTCTTCTTTGAATGAATTTGCAATGTAAGTGTAAATAATAATTAGTTTCTTTCTAATTTCTAGTAATTTCTAGGAGAAAGTACTAGGCTTGAGAGATGAGAAATTACTTGCTTAAAAACA